CCCATCTTGTCCCTCCCCCCGTTCGCCCTTCCATCCCGGCATCTTTGCTTTCTCCTTAGAAATAACAATAGAAGAAACAGCTGGCTCGGGTCTAGTTTTTCTTAGTCAGTGTTTTCCTACTCAATGTTTTCCTATTCAGTGTTTTCCAATTCAGTGTTTTCCTATTCAGTGTTTTCCTATTCAGTGATTTCCTATTCAGTGTTTTCCTATTCAATGTTTTCCTATTCAGTGTTTTCCTATTCAGTGTTTCCCTATTCAGTGTTTTCCTATTCACTGTTTCCCTATTCAGTGTTTTCCTATTCAATGTTTCCCTAGTCAGTGTTTTCCTATTCAGTGTTTTCCTATTCAGTGTTTTCCTATTCAGTGTTTTCCTATTCAATGTTTTCCTCTTCAGTATTTAAAGTCAGTGTTTTCCTATTCAATGTTTCCATATTCAGTGTATTCCAATTCAATGTTTTCCTATCAGTGTTTTCCTATTCATGGTGTTTTCCTAGTCAATGTTTTCCTATCAGTGTTTTCCTATTCATGGTGCTTTCCTAGTCAGTGTTTTCCTATTCAATGTTTTCCTCTTCAGTGTTTCTCTATTCAGTGTTTTCCTATTCAGTGTTTTCCTCTTTAGTGTTTCACTATTCAGTGTTTCCCTATTCAGTGTTTCCCTATTCAGTGTTTCCCTATTCAGCGTTTCCCAATTCAGTGTTTCCCTATACAGTCTTTTCCTATTCAATGTTTTCCTATTCAATGTTTTCCTATTCAGTGTTTTCCTAGTCAGTGTTTTCCTAGTCAGTGTTTCCTTTTTCAGTGCTTTCCTATTCATAAATGTTTTCTTAGTCAGTGTTATCCAAAGAGGTTATAAGTGTTTTCATATTCAGTATTTTCATATTCAGTATTTTCCTATTCAGAATTTTCATATTCAGTGTTTTCCTATTCAGAATTTTCATATTCAATGTTTTCCTATTCAGAATTTTCATATTCAGTATTTTCTTAGTCAGTGTTTTCCTATTCAGTGTTTCTTAGTCAGTGTTTTCCTATTAAGTGTTTTCCTATTCAGTGTTTTCCTATTCAGCGTTTTCCTAGTCAGTGTTGTCCTTTCAGTGTTTTTCTATTCAGTGTTTGCCTATTTAAAGTGTGTCCTATTCCTTTTCTGTGTTTCCTATTCAGTGTGTCCTAATCTGTGTTTGCCTTTTCTGTGTTTTCCTATTTAGTGGCTGTCATGTCTGTCATGTCTGTCATATCTGTCATGTCTGTCATGTCTGTCATGTCTGTCATGTCTGTCATGTCTGTCATGTCTGTCATGTCTGTCATGTCTGTCATGTCTGTCATGTCTGTCATGTCTGTCATGTCTGTCATGTCTGTCATGTCTGGCATGTCTGTCTATCAGAGCATTACAAACGTAAACATGATATTTTGTAGTATTTATCTATCTGTTAAACTATTTATCCATCTATCTATTACAAAACAAGTTCCGGGCGGCTTAGCAAAGCACTGGCATAAAACAGAGTTAAGAAAAAACTTAAACCTTTTTAGATTTAATAACGTTGGTTGCCTTAAAATAAAAGAATCCTGCTTAACAATCGATAGAAACGGTAGAAATAAGAAATATTTTATCATCATTTAGCATTTTTTTCTGAACTCTGTTCATATTCTGAGATCAGTCAGTGGGAGCTGAGATACCCAGAATTGTAGACCATACATCTGATATTAGACTACAAGTTATAAGTTACCAAAACCGTAGATGTAAAAATTATTACACTTTTTCGCTATTTTTGCAGTGCAGTGAAATAGATTATAGATGTTTTGAAGAGAGGTTAGATTTTTAGAAAAAAAGAAGCTTTTTAATTTTTGTATATTGAACACATTTTCCGTTCTTTTTTTATATAATGCTTTCTAAACTCAGGTCTGCCCAAACATATTATTCTTACTTTTTGATTCTTTAAAATCTATTATGAATTTTGATTTTACTTTATTAACATTAAATTGTGAAATTTTTTTTCATCAAATATTAAATGTTCCAGAAAGAGTTTCCAACGCAAATGGATTATACTTATTGCGCAATTCCGCGCAATTCCGCGCAATTCCGCGCAATTCCGCGCAATTCCGCACAATTCCGCGCAATTCCGCGCAATTCCGCGCAATTCCGCACAATTCCGCGCAACAGAATTCCGATTTAAACCCCCTTATAGTTACAAAAGATGAGTCGCTGTCTTTATTTTTTTGGGGAAATACTGCCATAAATGGTTCACAATGTTACACTTTAAATCTCTTATGTTATATATAATTAATATGAATGGTATATGAGTAGAAATGTAGGTGTGGTGAAGTATGAAGTGAGGAGGGGCAGGTATTATCTGTTCTACAGCTCGTCATGCAAAATCCCAAATGAATTAATGCAGAACCATTAAAATGCAGTGTTGAGCATCCTAGCTTAATTCCATTTCTTTTAACATTAATTTTTTATCACAGGATATTCCAAACCTGTATGCTCTAAATGTTGTCTTTGTTCAACAAGAGTGTTGAAAGCGTTGCATTATTTTATTCATTGATTCATATTTTCATGCTTTATGTTTAAAGTTTTAACATAGATCAATTTTTTGCGGTTTGATGATAACTTGCAAGTTTCAGCTTTGAAATACAATAAAAGTATTAACTCATATCGTTCTAAATACATTCGAGGTTTTTCAAAGGTATAGAAGTGTTACTTTTTTAGTTACATTACTTTTTTAAAATTGTAAACTAAACCACATTGTTTTTTGGGGAGGTGGGGGGTTGCACACCCTATTTTTCCTTTCCTCTTTCCCCCTCTGATAAGCCCCCCCCTAAACTTTATAAGCCAAAAAAGTAGCAAAATAATTTGCATTCTACAACGTCTCCTCTCAAGCAAAGCGCAGAATTCACGCAACAAAGACTTTGAAAGCGCGTGGGCAGTTTCAACACAATTTTTCTAGAATTTTTCTCCTGATACAAAGCAAAGATAATAAATCGTTGACTTATAAAGAATAGGAGTATTTTCTTAATCTGAAGAATGTTGGAGGGACGCAACAGCCGTCCAAAGGTTGCAAGCTGTCATGCTAAAATCGATGAGAATTTTGCCAATTACCGAAAAACCAGTGCTTTAACATTTTAAATATAATGTCTAAGGCTAAAAAAAAGTATGAGTCAATTATAACAGTAAAATAAAAAGGCCAATTAAAAATAAATATATCAATTACTATAGTTCTTAACATTGTAAAAATAAAAAATTCGCAATTTGAAAAAAAAACCGTTGCGACACTTCAAAGTTTAATCCAGTCTCAAAAATTGGTGCAACTTTTCGTATCAGTTAGATCTATGTGCAGAAAAGGAAGGGGGGGGGGTTGAAGGAAATTTTTGCCCCCTCTTTATGAAATGTGGTGACTTTCAATTTTAATATTTTCAAAATGCTTTTTTTCTCCTTGTGATTTTATATTTTCAGAATCATGTCTGGTCTCATTGGAGACAGGAGACAGAACTTGGTTTTCAGGGTAGAATCCTGTCTAGAGGATCCCAAAGAGGATCTTTTACTCTCTTATAGGGAGGATAATAGAAGGTAGGAGGGATCAAGGGGTACTATCTATCTATCTATCTATCTATCTATCTATCCTGTCTAGAGGATCCTAGAGAGGATTTTTTACTCTCTTATAGGGAGGATAATAGAAGGTAGGAGGGATCAAGGGGTACTATCTATCTATCTATATATCTATCTATCCTGTCTAGAGGATCCTAGAGAGGATCTTTTACTCTCTTATAGGGAGGATAATAGAAGGTAGGAGGGATCAAGGGGTACTATCTATCTATCTATATATCTATCTATCTATCTATCTATCTATCCTGTCTATAGGATCCTAGGGAGGATCTTCTACTCTCTATTAGAGGGATGATAATATAAAGGGATCTATCTATCTATCTATCTAACTATCTATCTATCTATCTATCTATCTATCTATCTATCTATCTATCTATCTATCTAACTATCTATCTATCTATCTATCTATCTATCTATCTATCTATCTATCTATCTATCTATCTATCTATCTATCTATCTTTCTATCTAGATGTTTTGTTGATCTACTAGCCGAGGATGGTATTGACATCAACCAACCGTATTCACAAGAAAAGGAAAAAACTATTCTTGAGGTGCACTTTACAAATATCTACTTTGCTTGTCTATCTAATTGTTTGTTTGTATCCAAAAAACGTAAAAACGGCTGAACCGATCGAGCCAAACATATTTGAGCCAACTCCAAGGAAGGTTCACGGCTGGTCTAAGTTGAAAGGGTTTGCCATGAAAAATTTCGAAATTTATCATTTTTAAAAGTTCACCAATTTTTAACAGAAAATTTGAGAATCATGTAAAATGGTGAATTACCGAGTTCAAAGCTAAAATTGTTAAATTGTTATGGCAGATTTCAGGACTGTTTTAATACATCTTTTCATCTGTATCGTTTCAAACATTTTATTAACTCTTTCACTTTGATAATTTTCATTACTTTAAAAAATTGTTTGGTTTGAATTTAACTGTTCCTTTCATTTGAAAACAACTTAATATAAGTTATTTGTTTCATTCTTTGATTCTTTATTATATCAAAAAAGTTTGTTTATATTAAAACCAATGGATTAGTTTTGATTTATCAAAACTTTATTAATGTGTTCAAGGTCGTTAAGAGTGTTCGTTTGATTTACAGAAAAGTTGATTTTGTTCTAGTAACAATGCTAAGCTATTACTAAAACAAACATCAAGTTATATATAAACACAAACCACAGCTATATGAGAGAAAAGATTCGCTTGATATATAAGTCTGCAGGAAGAGATCATCATCATTGGAGTACTATTGAAGACCCCATGAACGTCTCATTGGAGACCCACAGATTCTCGTTGGAGACGAGCATCTGGGTGTCTACAATGAAAATATAATTTTTTTTCTTTATCAAAACTTTTAAATCTTTCTAACAATAACGGGCTTGTTTGGTGCATTACATGATGTTTTAGTTCATCGTAACAAATATATTTTAGATTTGTGTTGAAGAAGGAAAATCAGATTATGTGGGAGAACTCCTGAGAAGAAAAGATATTAACCCATCTCCTCATAATCCGGTAAAATATCGACAATTTCTAAAAATTACGCAAAATCTTAAGTTCTGCCAGGAAATCCTAGAAATTGTTTTAATCTAATTTTTTACATGTATGTACAGGGTTCCTCACAAAGGATACGACTTCAGACACGACTGTACATAATTTACTTATATTCATGATTCCCTGTAACAATAAACGTGTTCCTTTTTTTTGCCATAACATTTATAAAACTATATTTATAAAAAAATACTGAATTTATCCTTAAAAACGTATTTTTAGAGTTTTAGGTCGGTTTTATTGTCTCATCATTTGTAAAGAAAAAACAAGGCGAGTTAAAAGTTTCAAATCATAATTTTTTATTTTCCAGGTTACAAAAAGAACTCCACTTCATATTGCTGCTGAGAAGGGCTATGGGCATATTGCTAGACTTCTGTTAGGTATTAAACAAACCTCTGGCAATCATAAGAAAAGTTCAAAAATCTGTTTGATGTGAAAAAGGATTATTAAATTGTAACAACTATTTAAATGACGATTGTATTCAAAATATGTCATTATTGATGAGATCAGAGGTGGGAATATAAAGGGAAATGGACATTATACTTTACAAAGAAACCGAAACTTTAATCTGTTAAAGCTTTCAGTCATAAAAATCTTGACCAAATAGAGATCTGTTCGAGAAACTCCTAAGCTCTCGGTTCAAAAGAAAATTAACTTATTTCAATTAAGTCCATCAAAATTATGCTCGTTTATTTAAAAGCTCCTAGCTTGGTTGAAAATCATCAAGAATTGATTTAATTTTAGTTCCCATTAGACACACACTTTACATTTTTTGAGAGTTCATTAATTTGCCCCCAAAACTAGTATAAAGTAGTCAAACTCTCTCTACATGCATAATATTAGAACAAGATATATATCCCTGACAAACTGTACAATGTACATTCCCTGAATTTTGTTTATTTAAACTAGACAGTGGAGCAGATGTAAATGCTAAGGATGAAGGAGGGAACACTCCCTTACATATTGCAGCTCTTAGGTATAATTATAAACAAACAAGCTAAACTGAAAAAAAAATCAGAAGAACACAATTCTAAGATTTGCTCCTGCACTTGCAAGCTGCAGAAATACCAATTTCAAGTAACCCTTTATGCAAAATGGGCAATACCCAATTTACAAGGGTACCCCTTTAACTGTTCATCGAGTAGCAATCAGGGGCAGATACAAGGGGGCGGCAGGACCTTTGCACCCCCCTGAGATTTCAGAATAGCTCCTCAATAGCACTTAAGGAAAAGACCTAGTGTCAAAAAGGAAAAACATCTATCTTTAAAAATTGTGTTCCTAAATCTGGATATTTCTGTTCCAAAATGAATCTAGCACCCTCCTCACTTAAATCCTGTATCCGCCCCTGAGTAGAAAGATCTCACTGTTTGAACTTATTAGAACCCGCTTGAATTTCTCTAAAATACGGTCTAGTGTACGCTGTGTACAGAGTGTCCACAGCGCGGCTGATCTTTTACTTACGCCACTCAAAGTATCGACTGTTTTAAGTTAAAAGCGGACTTCAAACATTTGAAGAAAATTTTTGATTTTCTGCAACTTTTAGAAACAAGGTATTCTTATATTCTTAAAAATATAATATCTTGAAAACTAAGCGTCGTTTATCAGTTAAAGCGTTTCAGTAGATGAATATAGATACTTTCGACATCCTTTATCAGTCAAAGGTTGAAGGGTACTGTTGTGAATCGGGGATGCTCCTCTTTAAATGGAAGATCACTTGAAATTACGCGTACAGTCCCTTTAAAGAGTGCCTTATTCCTTGATTCAATCGAGAAAAAATAAGAAAACAGAGTCCGAATTTAATGATTTTGAGCCGCATCTCAAATCCGCCAAAAACCGGTTTCAATTGAGCCAGGGGCGGATACATGATTTAAGTGACATGGGAACAAAAAAATTTAAAATTAGAAACAAAAAATCGCGCCGCGCCGAAATTTTTTTTTTGACTTAAAAGACTCAAAAAGAGTCAAAATTAATGACTAAAGACTAAAAACTTGATTTTTAACTTTTCACACATTATAGTTTATTAAGACAGATATTTTTCTTGTTTTGCACTTGGGTATCTTAAACTTTCCCTTAAGCATGCTATTGAGAAGCTATTCTGAAAATAGAAACAAAAAATTCCAAATTCCGGGTGGTTTACGCTTTCCCTGAATCTGTCAGGGGGGGGGGCGAATGTCCCCGCCCCCCCCTGTATCCGCCCTTGAATTGAGCGCCGGCTTAAATCTTGAAACATTGAATACAATTTTATGTGGAACCAACCATATTTGAGCCGCGGCTTAAATTTAAGCTGCGGCTCAAATTTTTTAAGCCGCGGCTCAAATTATTTAAATTCGACCTCAGGTTTCAATTGTGATTTGTGATTTTTAAAGAATTATTTTCAAAAAACGTTGCCAATCCGTCTAAATCCTAAAATCAGCTTTTATTAGATGTTCAGCTGGTTGGAGTTCAGGAAATGAACAGGAACAGCTTCAGCAGCAATTTGTAAACATTGTTCATCTGCTATTAGATAGGTATATAACATTTCATGAAAATAAATGTACCAGATACATCTATAAATGTTCTAGAATAGGGCTTTAAGATATATGATATTTATGTTCTAGAATAGGGCTTTAAGATATATGATATTTATGTTCTAGAATAGGGCTTTAAGATATATTATATTTATGTTCTAGAAAAGGGCTACCAGATATATTATATTTATGTTCGAGAAAAGGGCTACCAGATATATTATATTTATATTCTAGAAAAGGGCTACCAGATATATGATATTTATGTTCTAGAATAGGGCTACCGGATATATGATATTTATGTCCTAGAAAAGGTATACCAGATATATGATGTTTAAATGTTCTAGAAAAGGGCTACCAGATATAGGATATTTATGTTCTAGAAAAGGGCTACCAGATATATGATATTTATGTTCTAGAAAAGGGCTACCAGATATATGATATTTATGTTCTAGAAAAGGGCTACCAGATCTAGAAAACAAGTTTGGTATAACTCCTCTGTTTTCTGCTGCGGAGAAAGGAACGGCTGCAGTTGTTAAAATCTTGCTAAGAAAAGGTATTGGATCAATTGTTGAATCTATTATAATAACTTCATCAAATTAATCATCATTATCATATTTATCTCCTATTGTGATTTGTGAAATAAAAATCTAAAATTTTCAATTATTTTTTTCCTTTTTTTCCTTTTTCTCCTGTTTTAGATTTTTTAGCCGAGTCATGGTAATTCTTCACATACACACTTGAGATACTGGGAGTTTGAACATTTTGTTTAGAAAAAGATAAAACTGTTTAATCATATTTCTTTATTTTTAAAGTAAATATATATAAATATAGAATATAGCTTTACGTACATAGCGTAAGCTGCAGTACGTTATATTAACTCCTTTATGTACAGGATGTTGTGTGAGTGTAGAAGTTGACGGAGAAACTCCAGAAGAATTTATAAAATCAAGAATGCCAGAAATTGAAAAGGTAATTTATCAAGTGTATACAGTGAAACCCTTAATAACGAATACATCGAAAGAATTCATCAAATGTCGTATTCTTCACTTTTTGATAATGGAATGTTGCAGATATTTAATTTTTAATTAAATGATTATATGGAACTCTTTACAACTGTTCCGGCATATTCATGGCTATTTATTTCTTTCGCAAATACTGAAATTTACGTAATATAGTATAAAACTCATTGAAAAATTGTCATGGCGACATTTGCTAAATTCTTCCGATGTATTCGTTATTAAAGGTTTCACTGTATTTTCAACCCCAAAAAAATAACACTACAGAAAATATCTACAGTTTTCGAATGCTAACTTTTGAATTTTTTTTTTTATAAGTCAAAACCTTAAAACGATTAAAAGTTTCTTTTTATTAAAATTTATTACGAAGCAAAAATAATTATTAAAATATCTGATTATTTTGTTTAGGAAATTAAGCCATGGAACCGAACTTTAAGCAGTAGCATTGAATCCAGGCTCTTTAAGGCACTCTACAATGAAATCAGGTAGATGAGATATTTCTGGGTTTAAAAAAAAATATGGATATTCCAAGAGGTAATAAGAGTTTCAGAACGATTTACAATTATTTAATTTAAATCATTTTCTTAGATTAAGTAAACCCCTCTGCTGAAACTATAAAATTCACATAAATTATACATATTACATATTACATGTATTAATTGTGTAGTTTAAATATCTTTAAATACCTTTATCTGTGCAACCTGATGTTGTAGACCTTAGATATTTCAAACTATAAATTCTGTTATATCAAATAGTGTAAGTTTGAAATATCAAAGGTCCACACCATCAGGTGACACAGAAATATAGGGATTAGACAAATTGAGTTTGTGGCAAAGACTCAATTCCTTTGTTTTGTTTTAATATAGGAATGATATAAGAAGTATTTACTTTTATAATCTAGCTCTAATTTTAAAAACCTACTATTTCAAAGAAATATAGTCAGGTTTTTGATAATTAAACATTTTCAGACATGAAAACTAATTGCACTTAAATATATTGCTTCAGGAAAAGTATCAAATTTTAGGGAATAAAAATGTAAGCAATTGTTTGCCATCTTACATCACACAATAGTTTGTAGTAAGCATTTTGAAATTTCACCTAAAATTACGTTAAAATTATAAATGTCAAAAATAGAAAATCAGTTGATAAACGAAAAATAAAAAAACTTGCTGTCATTTTACAATGCCGGTTTTGTTTATTTTTCAAATTTCCAGTACGCGAGGATCTTTCTTACAAACAACCTCGAGTCTGTCAACCTCCGTTGGTGTTAACTGGAATAGGTAAATAAAAACCATTGATAATCTAACTAATATATATAATAATTGAAAATTAATAAAAAGATAAATACACACATGAATAATAGATTCACAAATTAATGATTGAAAAATTCTAACTAATCGAATTAATTATATACAAAAAATTGGATACTAAATAAATAGATACGTTAAATGACTCTGCAAAGTTTGGATAAGTATTGAAATGATAATACTTTATAAATAAATAAAAAAGCAATTAATAAATAATTTTATAATTGAAATAAATAAATTACTAAAATGTTAATTATAGTTTGTCGATCCCATTTACCATATCTTTTAGCATGACAGTTTGCATTTCCTATTTTTTTGTTAAACAAAGTTTTTTTCAGTGACGACGGAAATCATACTTTCCTGCAGTATGCATGTGATCATGGATACGATGATATTGTTAAATATCTTCTAGGTCAGTTCAATTCAGTGACACAAATTCATCGGAAATAGTATTTTGACATGAAACTTTTTTGCTAAATAATCATTTTTTGGGTTGAAACTTAACTATTTTTATGTATAGAGTCTAAAACTAAAGAATGCGCGAATTTTAAGTTCGAGGTTAAAAGTTCTGTAAAATAATGAATAGCTACTTAAATATTATACTTTCTCAATTTTAAATTTTAAATTCCCGGGAAAATCTGAACCAATCAGAAAAAAGGATTTACGGAGAATATTACGTAACCATCGCTAATCAGCTGTTTTAACGTAACCGAAAACAAAACATATTTCGAGTTAAAACCGTATTTTGGGTTTACATGCAAAAATTAATTAATCTAAAACGTGAAATTTCTTTAACAAGGTTTTCACTTTTAAATATATCGTAAAGTTGAATGCCACTTTCTCAGCTGAATGATGATTGAATAATAGACAAATAGGGAAAATGCAGGATTTCAAGATTTTAACCCTGTGTTTAAATTTTAACTCGTCGATTTCGGCGAGTTAAATATTTAACCACAGGGTTAAATATTTAACCTCACGGTTAAAGTTCAGGTTTAAATTAAGTCAGAAGTGGCATTTAACCATGAACTTAAAATTTAAGTCAAAACTTTTCGTTCTTTAGTTTTGGACTCCGGTCAATATGTTCAAATTACAAAAATAATAAGTTTCCATATAAAAGGTCCTTTTCATTTCTTACAGTATTTGAATTATAATAAAAATATGTTTCTTAAAAAAAAGAGTTCTTATTTAATTCTAGAAAAGGGCGGCGACCCTAACGGGGTGTGTAAGAACAATTTGTACCCTCCCCTTGTACTCGCAGGTCATCATGGGTACTTCAAGGTTATAAAGGTAAGTACCCTTCCTTTCCCTCCTTTCCCTCCTTCCCCTCCTACCTTCCCCCTGTTTTTTTATAATGAGGCTTGAGTGCCCTGTGCCCCACACCCCGGACCAACCAGAGTTAGAGTCTTTGGTTTCTTCTATTTGAATTCATACGCGTTTTTGTTAATCATTAAAAATCCTTAACTTACGGAATTGTCTGTTTAATACTTTTCATTAAAAAAGTATATGTCCGGCACAAAAGTACTAAAGAAAAAAGACTAAAAAATTATTTTTGATAGGACCAATTAATTGTAATCGAAATATTGAAAGAACCGCCAAATCCACGTGCCCCCTCCCATAACCTCCATCCCAACGCCGTTTTTCTTTAAATCATATCTTTGAAAATACATGTTTCACGTTTATCTAAATAGTAAATACTCATATATAGAAACAAATGAATAAATAAAAGTTAGAGCTGTTTCTTAAACAATGGCGTAACATTTAGTTTTAACTAAGGTTTCAACTTTTTTATTTTTTTATTTTACAGATTTTTCCCGCAATAATAATGAACATTTATTAAGGTATTTAAGCGGAGGTTTCTGGAGCAAGGATCCCTCGTAGATTTCTCCGGGACGGATAATAACGCTAGAAAAGAAAACATTCTTCACAAAGTTCTCAAGGAATATATTTCTGCAACATGGATTTTTCAATACTCTTGTTAATCTAATCAATAAATAGCAAATCATATTTATTTTTGTATAACTTTTTTTAAAAAAAACTTTGCACTTAAACATTTTTTTCTAAATATGTTTTTGTAGAGATCTTTAGGAGGCAATTTACCAAAATACATAAAATACACTATTTAAAAAAACACTAAACCAATCTGAGAGACGAAAAAATATTCTAGGGCCATAGGGATCAATACTATCTGTTAAAATAATTTTCGTTTACATTTTGTGGTGGTTAATTAAACGGCGAATAAGGAATATTAAATAGTATCATATGGTTATTGCCTTTTGGTTGTGATCATGGTAATTGAATTTAGTCTGTGCGGCAAATTCTGATTTCATAATCCATATATCTTTGCAACCAAATATTGTAGACCTTGGATATTCCAAATTCTGATTTCATAATCCATATAACTTTGCAACCAAATATTGTAGGCCTTAGATATTCCAAATTCTGATTTCATAATCCATATATCTTTGCAAACCAATCCCGTAGACCTTAGATATTACAAATTCTGAAAGTTTCACATTGGTCAATCAAAAACATATTATAATAAATGTTTCATTAAAGGCCAAGCTAGCTTAGTCCTATCTGTTATCTGCCAAAAAATAGCTTAGATGCTTAATAATAAATTTCAGTTACTCTTTCCTGGGACCGCCTTTAGAAAGACGATACACCATTGATAAACAACCCCTTCTTGAGGAACAGGAAGGAAGGAAGGTAATAGATTGTCTTTAACGTGTAAGATTTTTAACAAATGTTAATATTGGTAATTGGTAAAGTTAACAAAATGTTTTTGTCTCGGTGAATTTAAAATTTCTGGTGGTCCAAAAATCGTTCTCTAGGACAGACCCCACAACTTCCTATGTAGTATTGACCCGCTTAACCAGTGTGGGTTGTTAAACCTTTTCTCTTTAATTTATACATTTCATTCCCTGTGGTTTAAAAAGCTATTACATACAACTCAATGAAGATATATCTAACAGACATGCTCCGTTTTTTATCGGGATTTATAAAACAGCCTTTTTTAACGGTTCCCTTTAAATCTTTTGATTATTCATCAAGTACAGAGAGCTCCATGTTTAAATATCATGTATTCCGTTTGAATTCCTGTAAACCCGGTGTATGCTGCGTACAGTGTGAACTCAACACAGCTGGAAAGTTACTTTTGTCCCTTGAAATTACCAAATCTTTTGAAATAAAAGCGGATACCAAAAACTAGGAAAGAAAACATTTTTTTCTGTCACTTCTAGAGAGTACTTGTTGATATTTGTTAAATGTAATACAGGTTGCAAACAAAGTGTTTAATTCTGGAGATAAGGAAGCATCAGTCAGAAGTTTAAAGACACGCCCCTCAACAAAACGAGGGTTACTTGAAATTTCGCCTACAGTCCCTTTAAATATTGAATTGGTTTGTTTCCCCAGGAACTACCTGAGACTGAGCCCCTGTGGTACATGTCCCAGATCAAGGAGCACAGACGACTTCTAAACCATCCTGTCATCACATCTTTTCTCTGGATGAAATGGAGACGTATTAGGAAAACATTTTTTTTAGTTAAATAAGAAATATATATTTCTTGATGGATGGAGATTCAAAAATATTCTCTTTAAAAATGATGCCTTTTCTCCTGATAAATGAACAAAAATAATCTCCGAAAAAATTATAAAAAGTTTCCAGATTACCCCCAAAATGTTGTCATGGTAATTTTGACGCAAAACTGTTGAGGTCAAATGTATTATAAGTATGTTTTTTTTAACTGTATTAAAATAATTTGTTTGGCTTTGATTAGACCTTACTTCTACATGAACCTCTTCTTCTACTTGATGTTCCTGATTGCTGTAACCGGATATATTCTTCATTTTTGACGTAACATTGTTGAGGGCAAGTGTATTATAAGTATTGCTTTTCTACCTGTATTAAAATAATTTGTTTGGCTTTGATTAGACCTTACTTCTACATGAACCTCTTCTTCTACTTGATGTTCCTGATTGCTGTAACCGGATATATTCTTCTGCTAAACTCGGAGATTTATCCACAAGATGGCACTGAGAAAAGTCAGGAGACTCCGGAACTAACCCTAGATGGAGTACGCAACCAACCTTCAGTATTAACTTCAGGGAAGAATGCAATTTAAACATTAGATACGCTTTTAATCAGTTAAAAGTTTGAAAGGGTTATTCAAATAAGATAAAAGGGTTACCCAAATAAGATAAAAGGGTTACCCAAATGAGATAAAAGGGTTACCCAAATGAGATAAAAGGGTTACCCAAATGAGGTAAAAGGGTTACCCAAATGAGACTGAAAATTGCACGCTATGCCTGATCATTATATTGGAATTTAATAGTAATTTAAATTTGCATTTTTCTAGTTTTTAAATGGATAACCTTCATCCTTCTCATACTTCTTACTGTTCGAGAACTTTTCCAGATTTTTATTTCCTTTCGCAGATATATATTTAGGTAATTACAAGCCGCTAGCTCAGTTAGTGTTTAAAGGGAATGGTTAAATAATATTTTAGGAAAAGTCTAACTTTTATTTTTTTGAGTTGGTAATAGTAATTCAATTTTATTCAATATATCTAGCATTTTGAAGTTTTTATTCTATGTGGTTTTATTATTCTACATATTTTTCTAGCTTATTGATAAAATCTGTGAGGTGGCGCTAGTAGTTTTAACCTACTATATTCTAATATTGAGAATATGTGTGAGGTGGCGCTAGTAGTTCTAATCTACTATATATTCTAGTAATAATAATATGTCTGAGATGGCGCTAGTAGTTCTAACCTACTATATATTCTAGAATTGAAAACATGTGCGAAGTGACGATAGTAGTTTTAACCTATTATATATATTTTAGTATTGAGAAAATTTGTGAAGTGGCGATATTAGTTCTAACCTACTATATATTCTATAATTGAGAATATGTTAGATGGCGTTAGAAGTTCTCATCTACTATATATTCTAGTATTGGTAATATAAGAAAGGTGGCAGTTGTAATTCTAACTTAATATATATTCTAGTAATGTGCGAGGTGGTGCTAGTATTTCTAACATATATCATATTCTATTCTTGAGAATAAGTGCGATAGCAGTTTTAACCTACTATTAGTATTGAGAAAATTTGCGAAGTGGCGCTTGTAGTTCTAAGCAACTATATTCTCCAAATATAGAATATATTAGGGACACTAGTAGTTTTAATATAATACATATTCTATTATCCAGAATATGTGCGAGGAGGCGCTAGTAGTTTTAACCTACAATATATTCTAGTATTAAGAATATGTAAGGTGGCGTTAGTAGTTTTAACCTAATTAACATTCCAATATTGAGAATATGTAAGGTGGAAAAGGTGGCAGAGGTGGCACTTGTAGTTCTAACCAACCATATATTCTAGTATTGAGAGTATTTGCTAGGTGGCGCTAGTAGTTCTAACTAACTATATATTCTAGTATTGAGATATGTATGGTGTCGCTAGTAGTTCTAACCTACTATATATTCTAGTAATGATAATATGTGTGAGGTGGCGCTAGTTTTTCTAGCTTACTATGTATTCTAGTATTGAGAATATGTGCGAGGTGGCGCTAGTAGTTCTTACCTACTTTGTATTCTAGTATTGAGAATATGTGCAAGGTGGCGCTAGTAGTTCTAATCTACTATATATTCTATTATTGATAATATGAGCATGGTGGCGCTAGTAGTTGTTCTAATCTATTATGTATTCTAGTATTGAGAATATGTGTGAGGTGGCGCTTGTATTTCTAATCTACTATATATTCTAGTATTGAGAATATGTGTGAGGTGGCGCTAGTAGTTCTAATCTACTATATATTCTAGTATTGAGAATATATGTGTGAGGTGGCGCTAGTAGTTCTAACCTACTATGTATTCTAGTATTGAGAATATTTGCAAGGTGGCGCTAGTAGTTCTAATCTACTATATATTCTAGTATTGAGAATATGTGTGAAGTGGCGCTTGTAGTTTTAACTTACTACATGGTTTTTAACCCTGGAACAGATCCTTCTTCACAGCATTTATCAGGGATTATCATTCTTCTTAGGTAAATATAGAATATACTTGATAAATCTATTGTTCTTATGCATGGTTAGCATCGGACATTTATTGTTGGAGATCTTTCTTCTAGTACAGGGTTTCCCAATAAACATGGGATTAAAGTGGAAACTCTGAAATCTATATTTATTCATCTGAAAACTGAGTATTAGCATTGGTTCTTTTATAATAACATATCATTTAAGGCTTTTTGTTATGAATTTTCTGTAACACAGTCAGCCATTTTTTCTTGCTAAAATATTATTTTGAATATTCAATTTTGTACTCCATAATAGGTCTATATATTTATATATATATATAAATCCTTGGCACTATTTAGTTGGACCGAGTTTGTACTCCTGATAGGTCGTCATCCTCGTCTCTCTACATACATCACCATGTTTAACAGAGTCAGCTGGAACTTCGCTAGGCATTGCATCGATTAATCAATAGTTTTGTTTTTCACTTTATTTTTTTTTGTTTTTCATTTTTCTCATTTTCTTCATATACTAATTGAATATTAATTTATTGCTTCAATTTTTAATGATTTTGGTCATCTTCATGAGTATACAAAAATGTATTGAAAATAGTTTCCAACCCCGAGTTTTTTTTCGCAAATGTGAAAATCCTATTTGCCATATAAGGACAATTTACAATCACATATAGTTTTGATGATATCAATTTAATCATTAATGTAGAAAATTAATTTTTCTTCCAATTATCTCCACAAATTGGGTTTTTGATTTTTACTCTTTATTGATTGATTGGTGTCTTCCCTAGTTTTCTTTTATGGTATTCCTTCTTCATAATTTCATTTGGACTTTGTTTCTTTATCATCTTGCACAAACCTGAAAACTACAAGGAAACCACAAATTTGCTTCAAAATAAAATTTTTTCTATTCACCCAAACAAAGGAATTGAGTCTTTGCCACAAACTCTGGTTAAGTACACCCCATATCTGTATAACCCAATGTCATAGAATAATATTTCAAACTATGAGTTTTGTTAGACCAAATAATCTAAGTTTTTCATGTCAAAGACTTAATTAGTCCTTAACTAATGAAATGAGATTGAATAGTTTTAACCTGGTTTAAGAAGAAAAACACTATTTGATTTTTACCTATATTCGTTTCAATAGCCGGTTTAAACTAGATGCAAACCTTTTTTAAACAAATGTGTAAAGGACTTTCAATAATATTTCATATGGACCTTCATATATAGATTAGATTTCCATAAATGATTAACAACACTGCCCTTTAAGTGTTTATCTAAGTAGCTGTATCTTTTTAGATATTAATACTTTTGCTTTTTATGAGCGGCGCCAGAAAATGTTTTTTTATTTACAACCATAGGCCGAATTTAAAAAATTTGAGCCGCGGCTCAAGTATGGTTGGTTCCGCTTAAAATTGTATAACATTTTGACGATTTAAGCCAGCGCTTGATTGAAACCGGTTTTTGGGAAATTTAAGACGCGGCTTAAATTGTTAAATTCGGACTCAGATGACTTAGAAATTGCGTTTCATTTCAAAATTTCAGGTTAAAAGTTTAAAGGGTTTAGCTCACATGGTTTTACTTTATGTCAAAGAATTAAATTGAAAAATTTGATTGCCCCTTTAAACTTGAAGATCATATTCCTTGTGTTGAAGAACGAGGAGGGGGAGGAGGTAAACGGATATTTCGCCAGCCCCAAGCTCTCCATCATGAAAACCATCGTAATGAGTCTTACAGGAGAAATAGAGTTCGAGGTTAGTAGATCACCTTGTCATTCGTCTTGTAAATCCTTTCATTCAACTAGCAAGTTCATCCTTTTCATCCTATCATCCACCTAGTTAGTATATCCTGTTCATCCTGTCATTCATCCAACAAGCAAGTTCATTTTTTCATCAATTCATCCACCTAGTTAGTTTATCCTGTTCATCCTGTCATCCATCTAGGTAATTTATCCAGTTCATCCAGTCATTCATCCACCTTGCTAGTTTATCCTGTTCATATAGTGTCATTTATCCACCTAGCTAGTTTATCCTGTTCATACCCTTTCATCCACCTAGTTAGTTCATCCCGTTAATCCTTTCATCCACCTAGCTAGTTCATCTTGTTCATATTCTGTCATTCATTCACCTAGCTAGTTAATTCTGTTAATCCTTTCATCCACCTAGCTATAGTTTATCCTGTTAATACTTTCATCCACCTAGCTACTTCATCCTTTTTATATCCTGTCATTCATCCACCTATAGATAGTTCACCCTGCCAGTTCATCCTATTAATCCTTTCATCCCCATAGCTTGTTCATTTTGTTCATATCCTGCCATTCATCCTGTCATACAATTCATCTTAATAATTTAAATTTATTCATTATACGCAATACACATATATATGCATTGTTTATATGATTTCAGCTTTCTTAGTTTTGAAAATTATCTGTGTTAAAGCATAAGGAGTTTTCAAAAGATTTCTTGAATATTTAGAAGACATATACATCTCAAGATTTTTTTCGAATTTTTTCATTCTTTTGAAACCAAATAGAAAATGTTCTTTTGAGGACAAAAACTTTAAAAGGTTAGATTCCAAGTTTTTTATCGTAATTGAATTCATATTTAAGTTCTCTTTCAGGGGATTGAGTTTAATCTAGATTTTGGCAAGTTTATCTTTGTTCTGTATGTGTTCTTCATAATGTTGGTTCTGGTCAACCTACTCAATGGTTTGGCTGTCAGGTAATGAACCTTTCTTGATACAAAATTTTTAAAATGTCCTTACAAAGGAATTGAGTTTTTGCCACAAACTCAGATTTTCTAATTACTATAACTTAGCAACCCGTTTTCCTAGACCTTTGATATTTCAATCTATTAATTCTGGTAGATTAAATAGTCTAAGTTTGAAATATCAAAGGTTTACACAAACAGTTTGCACAGATATAGGGGTTAGAAAATGTCAGTTTGTTGTTTCTTTGGGTTTCCAAATTTTGTTTTCGTAAAGGTCTTTACGAAAATTTTCTTAAAACTGTCAACAATGATAAACCATTAGAACTTTTTGAATTTAGTTCCTGTGCTAAGCTACATTTTTCATGCTAAAAAATGTTTCCAGGACGATTTTTTTTAAACAAATTCATCCAAAATATTCGTCCCGATGTTCTAGAAAACATATATTTTTGTTTATTTTAGTGATATTTCGGAGATTCAAAGAGAAGCAGAGATAGTCTCATGCGTTTCAAGGAAAATAATTCAAAATTATTTTATATTATACAACAATGTGACGGTATTGAGTGACTTGCATAATACAATTTTTGCACCAGATTTACTCCATTTATGTAACACAAGTTTAATACCTGTACTCTGCAGTCTGTACAACATTTTAAACACAAAATTAACTTAAGGTTGATTTTTTTTTATATTTTTGGTCTTAGATCAAGTTCTGAAGGATATCAAAGCAAATATTTACACTGTAAGCTGTAATTAAGATGATTTTATCCATTGTAGTTGCTGTACAAATTGCAGTTTCGGGTTTTACTAATATCAGTCCTAGGCAGCATTCGTTGATTTGATAACACTGTAACTTATGTTAAAAATATCAATATATATATTAATTTTTAACATAAATAATTGGAACTTAAAATTGATATTGTTATATGAATTATTTCTATTATCAGGGTTGAACTAATCTCCTATATAGAATCTATTCTTCTTGGAGATCCTTTCCAATTCCTCACAAACTTTCCAGAATCCAGATTAGCACAGAAACTTCCCTCCTGTAATGTGTTCACCTCATGCTATCAACTCTCCTGTGTTCAACGACTTTTCTCCTTTTTCGGAGGCCGTCGATTTCTATTGTTTGCCGACCGACTGCGGAATAAAAAAGCTGAATTTCATCCGAATTCCTCGAAGAAGGAAAAGAGTGAGCACGGGATGAGGATGGGAAGACAGTGTTGGAAAAACGATTTAATTCTTTCAGAACAGATACTTGAGGATTCTAAGGTTATATGATAATAATAATAATAATAATAATAATAATAACAATAATAATAATAATAATAATAATAATAATAATAATAATAATAAATAATTAATTAGGCTTTGTTGGTTCGAAAGATGACAGTGTCAGAGTCTGAAGACTTAAAGAATCGTCTACAGAAGATTGAAAAAACACTTCTTCTTCTATCTGACCCTGAGAAATATCTGATTACAAAACTTCATTAACTATTTTTAAATGTAAAATTGTAAAATTGGGATTTATGCTTGATTCTTTTGCACTGCATATTAATGTAGTCATTAAACTGAAGACAATTTAATTTTTTATTTTCTTTCTTTTATGTGAAAAAAGAACAAATTTAAAGGTGGCCATAATGCCCAATTTAAAGGGGGCCATGATGCCCAATTTAAAGGGGGCCATGATGCCCAATTTAAAGGGGGCCATGATGCCCAATTTAAAAGCTTGCAATGGTACCCTTTAAACCTTTATCTGTTGAATGATAATCTGGAAGATATTGTGGTTTTTCTAACTTCTCACGATTTCCTCCATTGTTTCACTTTCAAGAAGTCCGCATGTCACTTTTATACGTAGAGAAGCTACAATTGAAATAACCATGTTTTAAAAGAAAAACTATTAATATTTTATTAAAACTCTTGATTAAAGAAAGCTGTTAAGGGTACCGTATTGAATCGGACATACATACATACACACCTCTCTAGAAATAAGGGGTTACTGAAAAATTACGTCTACAGTCTTTAAGAGATCAGAATCAATCGTAAATTTAAAAAAAAATTATTTTAAACCTCCAATTTCTTCCATATTTTAGATTTTTTGAGTAGTTATAACATAAACCAAAGTATAGAAAGATACCATATGTAGCTATAAAGTATTTTGATTCATTTAAAAATGTTTTTTCAAAATTAAAACATGCTTCTATATTTAAAGCTTTACATAAATAAACTTTATCAAAAATGTTTTATTAAACTTCGGAAGAGATATTTTACTAAATATAATATATTTTACAGTGTTGACGCCCTAAAACACCTGAGTCGTTTCAAAACAAGAAATTAAACAGAAGAGTTTAGAGTGAAAATATCACAAAAAATTAACCTAGGAGCTCAACTGCCCGGCATTCACCGTGGAATGAAAATAATATTTGTAATTAAAAAAAAACTTTGATAAAAAAATTCCGATTTTTGAAATGAATCGTATATAAAAATGTAATTTGAATTTTTAGCATCCTAGTGACCCCCTAGATACCCGGGTTCCCTTTAAAATGTTTAGCCATCTAGCTAGTCCAGTCGTCTGGCCAGCTATAGTTAATAAATGAATATACAAAAGCGAAGAGCTTTATTATTTAGATTATAGTATTATTTGATATAAGAAATAATTCTGTTATTCTAATTCTCTTTGTAATGTAAAGATGCATGTTCTTCGTTCCCCTGCATCTGATTCAACTCTTCCTAACACATTTTGTTATCAAAATCCTCAAAAATTATTTTTCTTTACAAGTTTTCAAATTAATATTAATTTTTATTTACCTCCAACCGGCATAACAGGGATATAAAATCCAAATTCCTGGCCAAGAATCTTCATTGCTTGCCACATAGAACATTGAACCTTAAACAGAATATAACATCCGTTTTCACATAGAACATTGATCCTTGAATAAAATATAACATTCATTGTCACATAGAACATTGATCCTTGAACAGAATAGAACATTAATTGCCGTCATAGAACATTGATCCTAGAACAGAATAGAACATTCGTTGCCCCATAGAACATTGATCCTTGAATAGATTAGAACCTTAAATGCCACATAGAACATTCGTTGCCACATAGAACATTGAACCTTAAATATTATAGAACATTCATTGCCACATAAAACATTGAACCTTAAACAGATAGAACATGCGTTTTAACATAGAACATCGATCCTTAAACAGAATAGAACATTAATTGCCAAATTGTTTTATTATTTCGCAGGTCATTATTTCGTAAATGAGGATAGTCATTCTTTAATAACGTTTATTCCTTTACTGTAGAAATGTATAATTATTTACAATCAATCACGATTAATCTGCTTTTCTTTTGCATAAATTACAACAAGAATATCGTTAATGGATCAAAATTATAGATTGTTGTTCATCAGAAATGTCTTCTGTCCAGTTATAGTCTTCACTACAACCAAGTTACCAAGTCTAAAGGACAAGTTAACAAAACAACTAAATGTTTCATAAAAATAACATTTTGAGAAATTTCACTATAAAATTTAATAAGATTATATATATTCTACATTAAGCCAATTTCAAATTGCTTTCAAAAAGATTTGTTTTGTCATTTCCCTGTAATGTGTACATAATAGTTCTTCTTTCCCCTGCATCCGACATTACTCGTCCTTTAAACAAATTTTATTAAAAACAGGTTTATGTTGTAAACAATTAATATAATTCAAAGCTTCAATTTTTTAAGATATGAAAATTAAAAATCTATAATCTGAATTACTAAATACAATCATGAACCAATATTACCTAAAATAGCGGAAATTTGAAAAGTATTAAAATCAAAAATATGAAAAGGCTAAATATGGTTTTACCTTCCTCAGGAGTTATGAGAACTGAGTATCCGAAATCTTCAGCTAAAACTTTCATTGCTTTGAAGGGGGAACAGGTAACCTACATGGGTATCAGCTATGTACCGTATGTACACTGCACACAAAGTGTACGGCTGTACAGTGTACAGGCAGAATATGCAAAACGTACGCAGCACCCTGAGCTAAGCTTTCGGTGTGTTCTGCAGTAATCTGCATTACTCTGACCGAAGATATACAAGCGTTTAGTAGAGAGTGACAGTGTTAGCTTTAAATTTATAATGTTTGTACGTCAGATACTATCTGAACTATGAATTATGAAACAATAATTTTTAAACAATTCCAACGCCGAATTCATATTATTATCATTATTATTATTATTATTATTATTATTATTATTATTATTATTGTCCTACCTGGTATCTATCCAGGTTCTGCTTGAATTCAATAAAAATACAATTTATACAAAGGGACTGTTCTTTAGCTTACCGATGAAAAGCTTTTAATTCCTCTTCCTCTATACCAAACACAGAACACTTTTCTAATTAGAAATAAATATTAACATAATGAATAAGTTCATTATTTGGGGGAACTACTCGTGCGACTTTGCAATCTCAAGGGTTCTTATTTTCCCCTTGAACAATAATTGTGAAGAAGAAAGGATATGTTTACAAATATGCAAGATTTAAAACTGAAATGAAAGCGACTTCATTTTGTCTAAATTCAATTAAAAATTGGAACTTATAGAAATATTTCAGCAACTCTTGAGCTCGTCTATACATTGCGTTGATAGTGATGTTTAACTTTTTCAAATAAAGATTTGAAGGGCACTGCATTTGTGAATAGTTTTTGGCACTTTGTGAACGGGCGATGAAAATAACTTTACATGACCCTCTATTTAATATTTATATATAGTGACATATTTGATATATCAAAATATACAAAATATACAAAATGTTAACATTTTTAATTTGGTTTTATCAAAAATGACTGAATTATCCTTCTGTTTCTTTCGTAAAATTTAATATTTAAATAGTGGTTACTCAGTTCTCTATATAAATGTGGCTTATGAATTTATGCGACAAGAACTTTCAGAATAAAATAAAATAAAATAAAATAAAATAAAGTATAATAAAACAAAAAAATAAAATAAAATAAATAAAAGAATATTGTAACCAATGATCATTTGATGTAGAATTAGAACGATTTATTTTAACTTTTCACGATGGGAAAATATATTTTATATAAATACTATATTATAAAGATACAGGGTTTGCCACAAAAAATGAGGTTTTAACCCTTACGTGAGGGGGAGGGGGTGTACCCCCCCCCTGTGGTTTCTTCTTAATAACTTAACTTAATAACGGCTTACATTAGAATACTAATACTGCTTCACTTTTTCAACAAATAGTTGTTAACAGATTTTGTCAATTTTTTTTTGATGCATAGGGTAGGTAGAATAGAGGACAGTCTAATGGCGGGTCGGTGATTCAAAAAAATCAGAAATGGTTTTAACTTTTTTCTTAATTGTCACATTCCCCTATCTCAACTCTTAAGGCAAAAACATAGGAGGAGGTGGGGGGGGGGGGAACACCCCCCAAATCTATGTTAGACAAAATTAGCCTAATCGGGATAGGGTTAATAACGACCTAAAACTCTTAAATACGGACAATCTGAAGGTTAAATTTTGTATTTAGTTTTTAATTTAGAATGTTAAAAGTGTAAATGAAGAAGAAACGCTGATTACATTCCGAACAGTCGTCTCTGAAGTCTCATCTTTAGTAGATAACCCTGTATATTTTATTTTGAAGTAAACCCTATACCTGCGTAATGATGACCCTCCATATCCCGCCGAACATCGCCAACAACTCCAACAATCTGTGTACGCTTCCTAACAGGGGCAACTCCTGGTCCAGGAGCAGGACCAGGGGGTCTTCCTGGTCCAGGGGCAACATCAGGGGCATCAGCTGGGGCCGATGGACATTCGATCCTGTCAAGGAAATCTATTGTTACTTTTGAATCAATCTACAGAGTTATAAGTTTATAACCATGGACTGAATCTACATGAGTTATATAAGTTTATAACATGGACTGAATCTACAGAGTTATACGTTTATAATCATGGACTGAATCTACAGAGTTATGAGTTTATGATCATGGACTGAATCTACAGAGTTATAAGTTTATAATCAGGGACTGAATCTTTTGAGTTATAAGTTTGTAATCAGGGACTGAATCTACAGAATTAAGTTTATAATCATGGACTGAATCTACAGAGTTATAAGTTTATAATCAGGGACTGAATCTACAGAATTAAGTTTATAATCATGGACTGAATCTACAGAGTTATAAGTTTATAATCATGGACTGAATCTACAGAGTTATAAGTTTATAATCATGGACTGAATCTACAGAGTTATAAGTTTATAATCAAGGACTGAATCTACAGAGTTATAAGTTTATAATCATGGACTGAATCTACAGAATTACAAGTTTAAAATCAGGGACTGTCTGTAAGTTTATTCATTCCTTTTCTTGATTTTTTTTTATTACGGTTTTCTAGTTTATTAAAAGATTAATTTGAAATTAAAATAAGCTTATGGGATTGATCTATAATGAATATTTAAAATTTACAGCCTATGTGATCTAATATCTTCATAATAATTGATAGTTCTATAAAAGTTTTGTCTTGTTAAGAGAGGGATGTAATGTGAACAGTTCCAAAGAAAAACTTATCCAATTTTCTTTCATTACTTAATGCAATAAATCCTACCCTTCCATTTTTGAATATAACATGCAGAATTTCCACAATTAGGTTTAGCACTTTATGAACTAACGATAACGAGATAACAACTGTAATGTTTGAAGGGCCGTGAGTAAACTAGAGTTATCAGTTACGATAATTGTGGTTTTCCTTTATGTAGGAAATCAGACCAGAATATTAGACCCCCCCCCTCCCATTAAGCTCTATAGCACTCCGTATTACAGTGTTACAGTGTTCCCATTAAATATTACAATTTAAAGATCCGACAAATTGTGTATAATATTCATTCATGCAACAAAAGCTTCAGTTGGACGAGGGGCCGGGAGGGAACCCCCGCACTCCATGAGCCTCTGTTATGCAGACACGAGCCTCCCAGATTTGTAGGCAGACGTCGAGCCTCCACTATGCAGACCAAGCCTCCGATATATGCAGACCATGCCTCAGCTAACCACTAAAAAAGCCTCCACAATACAGCACAGCTTTTTTAAATATTGGTTTTTATGTGTAATCAAATAGATTGTTAAGTACAATAGATGGCAACAACGTAGTATTTGACATTTGTACACTCTCAGTACATCAGTATTCTTACGTCACAAGTGTCAATTCAGTATTGTGCCCGACAAAATTATTATTAATAGTGATAATTTTAAAATAAAGAGCTTATCTTACAGTGGAAATAGGTGCAATTTTATGTCTTATTTATTTTCTGTTTCTACACTTTTTTATTTAATCTTGAAAAACATGTCGACTAATGTGAGAAAATTTCGTTTTCTTTGTTATATTTGACACTTGTGACGTCGTGTATAAGTGATCCATTTCTCCGTTGCCACCTATTGTACTTGATAATCTATTTGTGTGTAATAACAAAATTTAGCAATTTTTTTTGACGTATTGGCACAAGAATTTTACTGAAGATTAGAGTTTTTTATTGATTGTCATAATTAGAAACATATATATAGTGATTTATAAATTTACACTAAAACTTTAAACTTTTCTTACGCAGAAAGAAAGATATTCGGAGAAATATTTCTGGAGTAAATTTAGTCTGTTTTGTTGTAATCTTTGATTTAAACAATACCTTTTTTTAAAAAAATGTTAATATTTAGATAAATGATATGAAACAAATTTTCTAGATTTAATTTGAACTACAAAAAAAAGGTACCACTTAAATCAAAGATTATACAAGATGAAATGAAATTCAATTAAAAGTTTTTTTTCTAAAAATTTTCTTTTTCATGTGAAAAATGTTTAAATTTTTATGTGCCATTTTATTAGTCATTATTAGGCACTATTTATAATAATTGATAAATACTTCTCATCTTTGAGAAACCTCTCATGCCACTATGTCGAAAAAAATCTTTTATTTAAGATTAAAACACCTTTACACGGGCACATTTTGATGTATTGCGCATGCTCATTTCTGCATAGCGGAGGCTCGGTCTGCCTAGCCAATATGGGAGGCTCATGCCTGCATAATATATGAGGGCTCATGGCGTCTATGTTTGAAATATCAAAGATTTACGACATTGGCTTGCGTACAGTATCGGGATTATAATTTTAAGTTTATGGCCAAAACTCAGTTCCTTTCAATGAACAAACCTTTGTTACCAATTAAGTAAAGTTCAATTGTATAACATGTTATAAAGACAGACATAATTAAGAAGGAATTCTTAATTATAGATAAAAATAAAGAATACTTTTGTCAAAATACGGATTTTTAGGGGGGGGGCACAAAATCCTCAATGGGGTGCACAAAAAAATTCTGTGGTCGGAGTTGGTAGCAGGTTCGAATTAACTTAGGGAACTTAGGCCGGATGATGTAGCGTAAGATATTTGATATTTAAAAGACGACATTTATAAATGATGTTTCTCCTAAACAGCTGATTTCCAATGGAGATCATTCAAAGTCAGCTGACTGTTCTGCAAGCAACTCAATAATTATAAAACACTAATCCATAACTATTTCAGAAATCCTAAGATTTTTTTTGTGAACCATGTTCGTGAGACAGTCTGGTGTGTTAGTAAAAGGAATTGGTCAGCGTAATTCTTCTTTCCTTGGAGGTATTTTTAAATGAGGCGTTAATGTTTTATTTTCTTTATTTCACTCATAAGTACATGTGAATTGAATATTGAAACCCCTACAGTCAAATTAAATAAATCTAACCATATTTTGGTTGTCAAGATAGCTGTCGACGGTTAAATCCCGGCCGGTTGCCCCCCTCCCTATCCAACCGTATTGGGTTCTGGGTTATCTCTTGTTAATTTTTTATTGTTAATTTATCGTGTTCAGAGGTCATAAAATTACGACTGACCCTATTCTTTAGAGTTTTCAACTGCAATCAAATGTGTGCAGTATTTCACCAAATTATCAAATAATATATTAATTAAAATGTTTAATAATACGTTAATGCCGGGNCCAACTCCAAAATTATCGAAAGCCTGTTCCTAGCTTTATTATGATCTTAAACAGCTTGATATCGCTTTAATTTGATTAAATATTGGAAGCATTACTGTTTTCTAGGCCTGTTCGGAGGAAAGGATGAAGGTAGTTTTCTGCGTAAAATGCTTAATGCTATTGTCAAGCACGTATAAATTTTATAGCCCTAATTCTTAATATTTTGCATTAAGTTTTGTGACTAAAAATTATTTTCAACTTGTGCCGATCTCTGTAGCTGCATGTTTATTGTTTATTTTAGTTCCGTAGTATTTGTAACACATTTTCAAGAACTATTAAATCCAGGAACCCAAAGAGATAAAAATTCAAAATTAGAGTATAGACATATGCTAATAATTTCAAGAAGAATCAAGTAGAACCTTTCTATGCTTCGTTTTATTATAATTAATACATGTAATAAACACTTTAAAAAAATGATGCAAACTCCTTCAACATTAAAAAAGTTACGCACATTAAAGGTTATCCTAATCTTTTACATATTTAGGGTTGTTCGGAGGAAGTCAGAAGAATGAGATGTCCACAGTGCAGGAAGCAACTTTTGATTATCATCCTTATAAACTTCACAGGTTGGTTAACAATATATTTATTATTTCAATTAAAAAGATGTCACAAAAATTGTTTAAGCAAGATTTAATTTCCCTGGAGTATTCTTACTTTCCAGGAAACTTATGGGGAACACAATTCAATCTAAATAGAATAATTATTATTTTGATTTTTAAGAAACTGTAGGGAAAGAAAATTCAAACAAAAATAAATTTTTTTCCCTTTTTCTGAATTTCTTCAATAACGCGTTTCTTCTCCATCTCTCCTTTCACACTTTTACACTGCATGTTTTCTTATTCAAATTGGTGAAAATATTTGTTGTTTTCAGATTCACTTATAAATATTGTTCAGGTTGGAAACTGGGCCCGCGACCTCGACCCTCCTTACCAGGTCAAATTTTTATTTTAAAGATCATTTTGTAAGAAAATTATCTTGCTGATATTTGTAACTTTCGTTTACTAAAATAAAAATTTAATCGTAATAGAAGTTATTCTTATAACCGCTGTGAATAGTCAGCTGCGGGAAATGTTCTCTGAAAAGACAAAGACATTTAAGATTATTAAAAGATTAAAATTCAACATAAAATGTTATGGTTAATCTTTTGTCTTGGTAACCATTTGTTTAAGAATTGATGGATATTTTTGCGTTATAACGGTTTAATTTTAAATTATTGAATTCTTTTCAAGGAATAAATGACCTTTCAGGGGAAATACGTGAAAGAATAATATAAGATTTTGACGACGATTATTTTTCATTTTTCCCTCAAGCGGTGGAAACATTACTGGTCGGGTAGAGGGATAATTTTCGAGCTCAATTTTGCCCCCCCCCCCCCCCTCTAAACTATGTGGTCACTCCCTTAAATGCCTGGTATTGTAGGGATGAGGCCTTGAAGTACTACCACCAGATGGTGACCATCAGAAGGATGGAGACTGCTGCTGCAAACCTTTACAAGGAGAAGGAGATCAGAGGTAACAATCAGATTCGTTTCAGCTCTCGTGGGAAATAGATTTAGAGGTTGGAACTTATAAACGAGAGTTGAACTAGTCACGACTGGTTCAATTAATTACCTTGTTTTGCTGAGACAAATTTAATCTCAACGGCAGAAGAGTTGCAGTAGAACCAGTCATGCTTAGTTCAACTACCTCTCTTACTTGGATTCGGATCTTGGAATGGAAAAAACTTTTGAATACCAAAATGCATCAATTTTGGATTTTATAAAGATGTTGAAACAAAATGAAGGACGTGGTGGTATTATCAAAGAAAATATGAGAATATCTCAAAAATTTCAAATGATCACATTGGCCGAAGACAGTCTTTTCGTGCTTATTAAACAATTTACCAGGAAAAATCTATATATAAATTTGGCCTGTCTGTCTGTTTGTTTGTTTGTTTGTTTGTTTGTATCCAATAAACGTCAAAACGGCTGAACCGATCTGGCCCAAAATTTTTGTGGGACATCACGTGACCTCAGGGAAGGTTCTTGAATGATAAAAATTTTAAAAAATGTGTTATAAAGGTTTTTAATTTTGTAAAAAATTTAAATTCTTGAAAATCCGCGATTTTTTTTTTAAATCCGCAAAATTTTCTTCTTTGTTTTAAAATGTAAACAAAAAGAACATGTTCACAATTTAAATAGAAGATGGGTGGAAAGCGCCCTAAAAGCCTACTACTGTAAAATAGTTAAGTTTCTAATAATTGACTTTTTTAAGAAGTTCTTTTTATTTTTTTTAGCGTTAATTGCATAAAGTGAGACCCATACAACTGAGGATTAAGAAGACTACTTACTCAAGTTTGAAATGAAATATAGCAATTATGCAGTTCATACCGGCCCATTTTACTTAAAAGTTGATTATTAACTATTTGCTTTTTAACATTTTTATTACATTAAGGATTTTAGACAACTTAAAGTCGTGATCCTATTCCACAGTCTTATTATTCTCAATGCAAAAAGCTGATGTTTTGATAACATAAATTTTAACTAACATCAGTTCCAATTTAATTTAATTTTCAGGTTTTTGCCATCTATGCTCTGGCCAGGAAGCCATCTATACCGGTATGCACGCCGCTATGCGTGAGATGGACTCTGTTATCACCTCCTACCGTGCCCACGGGTTCACCTATGTGATGGGAGTCCCTGTGTTGGGTGTGCTAGGGGAGCTGGCTGGGAAGAAGAGCGGAGTGGTCAGGGGGAAGGGAGGTTCTATGCATATGTACACCAAGATTAATTATTTTCCCCTAAAAATGGTTATTTCCCGATTCAGCGAATAAGACCCTAGAAAAAAGCATGCACAACTTCTGAGGGAAAATTGTTGGGGGAAGGGGGGATTTTTAGAGAAATAAAAACCCATGTTATATTAACCAATTTCTAGAATATTTCATTTTGTCTCTCGAATTTATTTCTATATTTATTTGTATGATAAAGTTTATTATGTTTGAAATTTGAAATGCAAAGATAGTTTAACCTAGAGAAAAATCAATAATTTTGTGTGGAAAATGAACACGGTTTAATTAAAAAGGTTTAAAAAAGAGGACAACGCTCTAGCAGATAAAATTCTCATTTTGTCCTAAACCTTCAAAATTATGCTAATTAATGGAGTATCAAGTTGTCCATTTTCCATATTGTCTTACTTTGCAGAGATTTTCAGTTATTATCAGTGTGACTATTTCAATGTTATTACAAAAAAATTAAGAAACATCTACCTCACTAAAAACGGAGCCAGGGACTAAATTTAATAGATAGTTGAAAGATGTTGAACCACGCACGTCGTACCGCCGGTTCAACCAGTTCTCCTGTGCACTGGGTCAAGGTGACGAGTAGCGGTACAATTTGATCTCCGTAGTTCAACCACCGCTCCTATTTATTAAATCTGGCCCAATTTTTTTCTTTAGTTCTAAGTTCTTTTTTGAACATTTTTTAGTTTGTTCATGTTAATGTTAATTAATAAATCAATTGTGTTTTGGTTTACATAAATTGAATAATAAATGAAAATGAAATATTTTATATAAATTTTAGTTTTTACCATTTTCCAAGTAATTGAAATATTTCAGGAAAGACATGCTGCCTCAACAGATTTCTACAAGAGAGGAGACTTCATTCCAGGTATTTTCCTTTATCTTTCTTTCTTTATATATATAATATATAGTATATATTTATGGTCTTAACGCCGCCTCCCCCCCGCGCCGAAAAAATATTAGTTGAGAGCATAGATATGTAATTTATTTTTAGTATATTCTATGTATATTTACAGGATAAAGTTTGAATGCAATATTTTGCAAGTAAATATACTATACAGAAGAGACGATAAATCAATATTATATATACATATATATATATATATATATATATAATATATATAAAAAAGATAGATATATATCTATATCTATATATATCTTTTTTTCAATATTTGTCTATCTTATATATTCAATTTAGTTTTTATGTCTTGATGTTACATAGGGGCCAGATAAATATTAAATGAAGACGATATTCCCGATTTTTCCTTCATGGCTCTACACCTTTATCGGGTCAACGATAACGTCATTTCTTGATTTAAAATGTTTAGAATTCTAGCAATTTCTTCCTTTTTGAAAGATCGTTTAATTTATAAAGATCTTGTCGGAAGGTTTCTATCAAAGGTATTGTCCAATCAATTTCAAATCACCTTCTATTTTAAGAAATAAACATTTAAAATAGTAGTTTTTGCTATCAAGATATTGTCAATTTTCTTCCGTTTCTCTGCTGAATAAATCCGCAAGGCACTGAAAAGGATCCATCATTTTGCTCATACAAATATTCAAACTTTAGATGTTCTCAAACTTAATCGGGCATTAACTCTTTATGAGAGTGTCACGCTAGATTTAGATTTTTTAATAGGAGCCAAGTTCTACCTTACTTTTGAAGCAAAGAACATTTTGCTTGCTCCTGACATTCCAACCGTCGGTATTAAATTACAGTCGTGTTGTTGGAGGTCATTACGTTGAATGC